AGGTGTCCCTGCTGCCAGGTATCCACGATGCGGCCCTGCACTCACCACAGAAGTCCTACAGATGTCCAGCTCTGTGTGATTCTCTTCACAGGCCTTACATCAGCGCCCTACTGTCTATGTGGGGTGAGGCTGGCTGAGAGAGCCCTGCCAGGCTGGGAACTTCTCAGTTGGGCCACCACCCTGGAACTCTGCCTGTCACCTGCAGCTCCAGTGACACTGCCACTGTCACTAGCCCGTGGTTGAGCAACTATCCAAAGCTCTTCTGTTTAAAAAAGGGGGTGGGGTGGGGAGACTTGAAAGTCTACAATCTCCTGCCAGTTGGACTTGTCCTTATACAGGGGTGGAGGGTGGAGCCAGCACAGACAGGAAGCTGAGCCTGAGAAGCTCTGACACCTTCCAGCCTGTCAGCACACTCATGTGGAACCTCTAAGTGGAGGACAGTAGCCTCGGTGCGGCCAACACTTAAGATTGAAGGAAATTAGGAGACTTGGCCCAGAGCACTCTTCAACTGACAAAATGTTTGCTCTGCCAATGCAGGAGCAGCAACAGAAGATTTTTGTAAGGCAGAGGTCTGAATTACAGCTGATGTTGGAATTTCCCCAAACCTCAAATAAAAACAAAACTGGTAACGGACCAAAGCACCCCCAAATCCTATAGACAGAGGCACCCTACTTCTCTGACCTAACGGAGCAGGCCACTGACACACTGGCAACAGTGACGGCTGCCTTTCTGAGCAGCTGCTGATCACCAGAGACCCTCACCTCTATCCCAAGGACGGAAGGGGTAGGAACAGGCTGGGCCTCGGAGCGTTCTCAAAACACCAGCAAGGGCTCCCCTGCCCAACAGCCAAGACAGGCCAATGGAGAGAAACCAGGGTGGATGGCTGATCCCATTTGAGCAGGTAGGAAATGGGGGAGGACCCACTCCCCTGAAGGCCTCCCTCCTGCAGAGCATAGGAAAGAGAAAGGCCAAACAAAGCCAGGCCCCAAAAGCAAGGCAAGCCCCTGTGTTTCTGAACATCAACATACTCTGTGAGAGTGGTGAATCAAACCAAGCCATCTTCTGGAAACTACACACACACACACACACACACACACACACACACACACACACGAATTAAGTGTGAGCTCGCATGCACACACTCAGGCATGCACAAACACACTCCCACTCCCACAGTCAGAGAGGTGGACTGGAGATGGCTCAGCAGTTAAGAGCACTTGTTACCAGAGGACCCAAGTTCAATTCCCAGCACTCACACATTGGCTCACAACCTTTAACTCCCGTCCCAAAGGATCCAATGCTGTCTTCTGTCTCTGGGGCTCTTGCATGCACATGGTGCACAAAAACTCATGTGAGCATACAGACACATGGAAGCCACCTGTCGGCCTTAGCGTCTCAGGCTGAGAACAGGGCTCAGCTGGGCTAACAACACATGTGCTGTCTTCCTGCTGCCTGCCATTAGATGGGTGCTTTCTAAGCCCGCTCTCACCGGGAAGACCAGAACACTGTAGCACCGCTGCCTCCACACAGGCCCCGACGAGGTCACCGGCACTGCCGGGCCATGTTCACATCTACCCTCTGCACCCCTGGGAAGCAGGACACTCCCAGAGGAAAACAGGAGACAGGGGCACAACCTTAACTATGTTAAAGGGTTGCATTAGGAAGATTGAGAGTCACGGCTCTAGGTCCTTCCTAGATCACTAAGGACGGGCAGCAACACTGCGGTCACAATCACCCCTGTCACCCAGAAACATGTCGAGAGAATCTCCTGTGCAGTGTATGGATACAACACCTGTCAATAAAAAAAAAATCTACGGCCAACTGGAAAGTTCAGAGTAGAAGGTGGGGAATCCCTTAAGCAGAAAGGATTCTGGGATAGAGCCAAGCACTGAAGATTCATCCCTGGACATGAAGGAGGAAAGTTCACGAGAGCAGAGGTAGCCTGCCATGTGGTAGAGCTTAGATTAGAATAAACAGAGTGTTAAGTCATGAGCTAGGTGGAAGAACTAAGGTGTCTGTAAACATAACAAAGGCTCAGAGACATTATTTCTGAAAACAGGGATGCAGCTTGCAGTAAACACCCCACGATACCCGGGGGTAACAGAAACAGCCGATCCACAGACTGTCAGAGATGCCCAAGGCCCTCGAATGACTCACAGCAAGGAAGTGACCAAAGATCATCTCAGGTCTCACTGGAGAAGACAAGACAGGCTGAGCTTTGAGACAGGACATGTTCTAAACCAATCAGATGTGTTCAAGTCGATTGGCTCAAATACAGTGAAGGGAGAAAGCCTCACTTTCTGAGGATGAAGGGGTACTAAGTCATTACCTTGGAAACGGTAAATGGAAGACTCTGGTGCTGACTGCCCCTTCCTACTTGATCTGGACACCAAGCAGCTGAACAGATGGAGCAGTGCCTGTAAAATCTGGCTCAATCTAGAAAACAGAAAAGCAGGACCTCTGAGAGCCGCTCTGGGCGCCTTTACTGAGTCACCAGGTGTGGAGACCAAGCTCCGAGAACCGTGCACACCTACAGGACGGAACCGCATGAGCCTCGCTCCAGGGACTGGACCTACATTATCTTCAGGATCTGCACATGTGCAGGAAATTCAGGCCAGAGTCCTGTCCTGCTCCAGAAGGACACAGTCAGCCAAATCCAGACTGCTGAACAGCATGGGTCAGACAACCAGCGCTCTCCAACAGATGCCCGGGAAGGAACAGAGACAGACAGACAGACAGACAGACAGACTTGAGAGCTGCTGTGCTGTTTTTAAACTGCAGTGCCCACTGGTGTTTAGAGGCCCGTGTGAGCGAGCAGCAAGCATCCTGTAGAAGAGACAGGTGACTGAAGGGTGTGAGGGAGGGCGTGTGGGAGGCAGAGGAGGAAGACACCCAGCCCACTCCGTCCACCTACTGCTACACTCCTCAAACACTGGTGTTTCAAAATTGTTGTTGTTTTAAAGGGTAACAAGGTCAGGAAGGCTGGCAACAAGGGAACACATCAAACTTGCCTTTTCCACAGCAGCTGGGACTCTCAGCTGCAGGCCCTGGCAGCAGGTCTAACCTGTGCTCCTTCCCAGTGGCGAGCGTATCCGGTCATTAGTCATCAGTCTAGCAAGCACACACACAGAAGGACTCCTTACTGGCAGCACATTCAATACGCTTTCAGCTGCCAAAAGTCCACAGGGAAGTGGGAGACGTTTAAATTCATACAGTCCGGGAGCACATTTGTCTGTGTAAACCACTCGGCTAATGAAGTATCCTCAACAACGTTTTGGATCATAGACACAGAAAGAATCTAACAAACAAACAAAACAACAAAACAAGACTCCAGGAAAAGCAAGGGGAGGAGTGTGGTGCTCCGGGCCTGAGGTGAGACCGTGACTCTTGGGGTAATCTTTGGTACCTCAGGTCTACAGGAGCCCCCACCATGCTTCCGCCTAACCTCGCTAATGTATCTGGGAAAGTGCTGTCTTAGGGTCTCTACAACTGTGATAAACACCATAGCCAAAAGCAATCCGCGGAAGGAAGGACTTCCGATTTACAATTCCTCTGCACAGTTCATCACTGAGGGAAGGCAGGAGCTCACAGAGCCACAGAGGGTGCTGCTGACCGACTTCCTCCCCATGGCTTGCTCAGCCTGTGTCTTATGGAGCCCAGGACCACCAGCCCAGGGTGTCACTGCCCACAGTGAGCTGGGCTCTCACATCAATCATTATTTAAGAAAATGCCCACAGCCCAATCTAGTGGGAGCACTTTCTCAGGTGATGCTCCCTCTTCCTAAATGCCTCTAGCTTGGGTCAAGCTGACATCTGTCATGGTTTGAATATGCTTGGCTCAGGGAGTGGCACTATTTGAAGGTGTGGCCTTGTTGGAGTAGGCGTGTTACTATGGGTGTGGGCTTTAAGACCCTTGACTTAGCTGCCTGGAAGCCAGTCCTCAGCTCCTCCTGCACCATGCCTGCCTGGACCCTGCCATGCTCCTGCCTTGGTGATAATGGACTGAACCTCTGAGCCTATAAGCCAGCCCCAATTAAATGCTGTTCTTATAAGAGTTGCCTTGGTCTTGGTGTCTGCGCACAGCAGTAAAACCCTAACTGAGACAACATCCAGCTAGCCAGCACATGCTGAGAACTGATCCAGGTCACTAGTCTTACTTAGAAAGTTCACACTCAGGAACACTATCCTGAAAGGTGCCCTGAGACAGAACTGGAGGCTGAAGCAGGAGGAACAGCAGAGTCTAGGAGCACCAGCATGGACTACCTAGCGAGAAAGCTCTTTCTCAAAACACATTTTCTGGTGCTGCAGAGATGGCTCAGTGGTTAAGAAAATTGGCCACTCTTAGGAAGAACCTGGGTTCAATTCCCAGCACCCACACGGAGGCTCACAACCATTTAACTCCAGCCCCATGCACGCTGTCCTCTTCTGGCCAGCGCAGGTCCCGTGTTTACAGCGGGCACAGACACACATGAACGCACACGGCTAAAACACCCGAAATGGAAAATAAAGGCTCCTCCTTTATTTATAAAGGAGCAGAAGAAAACACCTTCCAGCAAAAGCTTGGGACCCGCCCGGCTCCACCCCCACCATCCTCATCCCCACCGTACCCCAAATCATCTCCACAGTGGGTGACAACACTTGCTGCACAGTGGAAGACAACAGTCGTTCCATCTTTTTTGGTAGGAGGTACACAGTCAATGTCATTCATAAAATTATTAGAAAACCATCTTACTTGCATCCAAATTTTCCCTGTATCAAGTGTTGGTGAGCAGGCCCCCTCTCAGAAAAGAAAAACAAGAAATAGTACAACTCGCTAATACAAGGGCCTGTAAATGGCTCACCTCTCACAAAGCTGCATGGTATAATCCAATGAAGCCAACACTGCTGGGATTCCTACTGCTTAGCCGTGTGTGTGTGTGTGTGTGTGTGTGTGTACACACGGCACTGAGAGCAGGAAGCGGGTCCCAGTGGTTTGTGTCACACCACACCCTGGGGACTTACCATAACAGTGCAGTCCTCTGATCCGCTGGCAATGACCTGATCGTTATGTGGACACCAGTCTATGTCCAGCACTGGTCCTGTGTGGCCACACACCGTAGGGTAGGATTTATCAATTCGCCCCGTCTGAAAAAAGAGACAAACAGATCATGTGACACGGTGATCACAAGGTGATTAGTAAACTGTGTTTGAAATCTGAGTCAAACATGGGAATCCTCAGAGAGAGGGCTGTGTTAGCCTGACAAGCCCACATGCTCTTCATCTGAGACATGGGATCGAACCCAGGCCCCACTGCTTAGAGGTTAGCTCAAGGAAGGCCAATGGCTCGCACAGCTCACCAACTGCAGGATAGGTGGCAGCGATCCCCGTCTCCCAGGTTTTATGGTGAGAATCCAACAAGAGAACATGTGTAGGGAAATCCAAAGGCCCTATTACAGCGATCCGGGTAAGTACAGAGAGAGGACACACGGCACCTCGGCCAGAACGAGGACTCAGTAAAACCATCCCTCTCAGTTCTTCTAGCACAGCGACTACATTTCCCCAGCACTAAGTCACCGACACATCGCATCTGTGAATGTCTACTGACATGAGTGCGAGCCTCGCTGTGGAGGACGGCACCTATGCTGACCAAGGAGTGGAGCTGAGGGGCCAGTGACAGTGTGTGCTGTCCCAGTGCAGGCAAGGGTCTCTGCTAAGACGGAGTCATGCTGAGGCCTAGAGTCCCCTACCCAGGGGCCTACGGTCCAGGCATCTTCAGAGACTACCGTCTCCAGGCAAAAGGCATTAAATACAGGGCCGAGGACCTGGCTCGGTGGGAGACTGCTCATCTAGCACACATAAGACCTTGGGCATGCATTATTGCAAACAAACAAACAACAAAAGGGAAGAAAGAAAAACAGGGCACACCGGTTGACAGCACGTCATGAAAGATTCTGGTGAAGTGCAGCTCTCAGACCCACGACTGTCCGGGCCAGAGTGATGTATCTGCCGTTTCCCACCTGTGGGCTCTCAGCCACCTTACTCAAGCTGTTGAACCTGATGTGACAACCAAGGGCCAGTGTGTGTCCGTGTCCCAGCACAGGAAGCACTTCAGAAGTCAGCCAACCCTGGGATTCCCCCTCCTGCATCTTCACTGGGACCCATGCTATCCCAATGTGGGCAGAGGTCCCTGTGCACGCGAATAAGCACTAGGAGCCTGGGAATGTTAGACACACCAGCCTGTTCCTTCAAAGGACCTTCTCACACGGCTGGGAGCTGACGTGGTTAACCTGCTGGCCCTTGCCCCATCCTCCACTCAACCACTATCATGAGTTTGTCGATCTATAGGATCTATCTATATGGAACGTGTCACATGTGGCCAACCTATAGAACTCACTGTCATGGGAGATGTCACATACAGTTTACAGAGTCCCGACATGGCCACATCTTCATCTTTATTGTGTACACAGGATTGAGCTAACTGTCCCCAGAGAGCTCACCAGCTTATGCTTGAATATGCCTATAATAAACTCCTCGGGGGTCAGACTCCTGAAGTCTGAGCCGCCACCAGCTACTCAGTCACAGCTGAACCAGACGGTGGCCTCTTGCTCTTGGATCGATACCCTACCGGCTGTGGGGGTCAGAGACACCCCCCCCCCTTCCACACACACCGTCATCTCTCCTTAAAGGAGGAGCATCTAGCACACACTCCGCCCAGCTGGGCTCAGCCACAGGAGGCAGCTGTTATCTGACTTTACTCCTGGTTATATTCCACTGTGTAAGCTGTTGCAGGTGGGCGCATGGGTGTTCTGTATGACACTCTAGAAACCTCTAACGCCCATCTCACTATAGTTTTAAAGTCATCGTTTTGAATGTGTGATACTCCATAGCCTAAAACCTCCTCAGACAGGAAAACCAGAGTGCCATCTGGCTCCCATGTCAATAGACAATCCCAGAACAGACAACGGAGAATGTGGCCAAGAATTTTTCAGGTTTCATCAGAGGCCTAAGAATCTTTAGACTCAACAGGCATAAATCTCACATAGCATTAACCCAATACTATCGCACGTGTACGTGTACACACACACACCACACACACACACACACACACACCCCTCAAAAGCAGTCAATGAAAAGGCAGAGAATGCCTATGGACAGGGTACTCAGACGGATTCTATTATCATTCAACAGTGATCCTTTTAAAAAAGCAAACAACAAAAAAGGACATTGTCAATAAAAATAATACTACAAATGTATCTTTGTTTTAAAGAATAAATAACAAAAAGAAAACACCATACTCAAAATGATGTGAATCACCAGTGTAAGACAGCAGTAATGATGGCTAATGGGTACGGATCAAAGGAAGGCAGAAATGAAATATTATACAGCAATAACAGAAATAGGAGAGTGAAATCAGACAGGTCAGGAGATCAAAGAAGGAACAAATGCACATAAGAACACAAAGACAGACACAAGGAAGAACAGGCTGGAGTCCAGGAGCAACATCAGAGAGCCATCTGAAAACTCCAGATGGAACAATCCTAGGTACAAAAACGTAGCCTGTCGAAACTTAATTTAAAGAAAACAAAAAACAAAAAAGCCTTGAAATACCACTGGAAAATGAGTTCCAGGCCATCCTGGCAAAAAAGATGGCCTGAACCAACTTTCCAAAGAACAGAGCCAGGAACAGCACTGAGATCAACTCAGAGGGACCTGAGGCGGGAGAGCAGGCAAGCATTCACTCACATCATGCAGGTCACTAACCACTGGGCTGGAGAGATGGCTCAACAGTCAGAACTAGCTGACTTTCCAGAGGACCCAAGCGTGTTCCCCAACACTGAAGTGCCATCTTACAACCATTTGCAACTTCAGATCCAGGGGCTCTAGTGTTCTCTTCTGGTCTCAGAGGATGCCAGGCAGGCACATAAGCAGGCAAAACGCTCATAACAATAAATAAACATATTAACATTGGAAGGAAGGAAGCCAGTCAGCCAGCCCAGCTTGAGTTGTTTTGAAATACAGTGAAATACAGTGCCTGTGATCCCAGCACTGAAGAAAATGAGTGAGAGGCTTGTGAGCTGAGACCAGCCTGGGCTACAAAGAGACCCTGTCTCAAAACAAAAGAACAAATACACTCACACAGGCCAACGAAAGAGACAAGTCTGAAAGCAGACAAGACAATAGCAGCAGGGCCATCGAGTCAGCACAGCCAGCCAGAACATCGGCAGATGACAGGCGGCTCACACGGGGAAACCTGGGAACCAGCAGATGCGAGAAGCTATTCCGGCTCACTGGTAACCAGACAACTGCAGTTGAGAGGGCAGGGCTGTGCAGTGGTTAAGGCCCTGCTGCTCCTCCACAGGCTTGTGTTCAGGTCCCAGCACCACGGTGGGCAGCTCACAACCATCTGTTACTCCAGCTCCGGGAAGCCCACACTCTCTGGCCTCCATGGGCACCTGCGTGTGCACACCAACACACCCAAAATCAATTAAAGAGGACGAGGAAGCACGTGACAGGAACCAGGTGACATCCACTACAAACAGCATACACAGACCGCTGTCGTGGTCACAGTTCCTCCTGTGAGTTACAGGACAGGTACAGTGGCACCTCCTAAATGACCTTGGTAAGGGAATCGAACGGTCCTGCTCTTCCCATATGAGGAAGGCTCCCTGCAGCACAGCAAGCAGTGGCAGAAGGAAGGACCAGTCTGCTATCCTCCAGCATGGGAACAAACATTTACATGCACTCTCCATACCACAGGCCTACAAATGGAGGCACGTGTTCACAGACAGTGTCGGGGCTGCTGGCGCTGCTGGGGTTGCCATGGACTGAAAGGACCACCGTCTAGAACAGAAACACTGGAGCAGGTCTGAGAAGACAAGCCTCTGTGAGGAAGGAGGGGCAGCAGGCCAGCCACAGCTGCTGTACTCGTCTTTCAAGGGGGATGAAACCAGTACGGCAGATACTAATGTCTGTCCAACCTTGGGGGTAAGAACATGAGTATCTCACTTTATCTGATGCTTCCTATTAAAAAAAAAATAGGAAAATTCAAACATATCAATGCACTGTTATGAATTCTACATTAAGCCTTTAAACTGCACTATCTGTGCGTGTGCATGCAGAATGAATCACAGCAGCCCAGGTGGGTAGAAGTCAGAGGACAATTTTTGTGAGTCGGGTCTCTCTTTTCACCATGTGGGTATCTCAAGGACAGAACCTGGTGGTCAGACATGGTGGCAGAAGCCTCCATCCACTGAGCCACCTCACCAGTCACCACTGATATTTTTTTCTCCCGCTACAGTTTTTCTGCTGAATTGTCTCGTTGCAGGCTTCTGTATCCCGGAGCCTCATCTCAGCAAGCCCCGCTTGGCATTGTGACAGGAACTATAGCACTGAACCTGACCTGCCCAGAACTACAGGAGGTCTGGGCTTAGTGGGGCCACTGATGAGAGCCAGACAAGTCAAAACTGAACCTGGAGTACCAAGCCTAGTTAACTAGCTTAACTACACACGAGAAGTTTCTCTAATCACCCCAGCTTACACAGTGCCGGCTACAAGTTAATAGGTGGGTGTCCACACATACTCTTTAACCCGGTAAGAACTCTGAGAATAAGCAGAATTTCTGCCATTCCCATCTGAGGCACAGCAAGCCTGCAGCAGCAGCAGAGCTCAGGATGTATCCCCAGGATCCTGCCTGCTGCTGAAGGACAGCTTGCATACGCCCTTTCTACTAGAACCCAAGACAATATGCAGAGCTCAAACACGTCAGCACACTGTTACGAATTTTACACAGTGGTACTGCACACCTTGAATCCCAGCACCTGGGAGGCACAGGTAAGTGGCTATCTGTGAGTTCAAGGCTGGCCTGTCTGTAAAGCAAGTTATAAGCAAGTCAACAATATAATACAAGCAACAGAACAAACCACAACAAGTTATGATAACTAATGCTTTCAGGGTGTGGACAAGACCACTGATCATACGAAAACTTAATTATTCAGAAATAAACGGAGGCACAGTACCCAAGAGGCAGCTATCTGAAACGTCACTGGCCATCAATACTTGGTTTGGATAGGGAAAAAACTTCCCACCAGGGCACGGGCTGTGCACAGAGCACAGCAGTAGCCTGCGATCGCTGGCAGCCGGCCATC